CGACGTGATGGAAGGAATTCACGGCAAGAAGACTCTTGGATCTTTTGACCTGGATGAAGACCGTGATAGTATTCGATCACCAGCTCGTGCCAACAAGCCTCAGCGACCTGCATACCTTGGACACTCCAAGTCTGTATCGGTGCCTGCTGTTCCACTTATCCCAGCCTCGGATCCAGAGGAGGGAAGCCCATTGAAGAAGACGATATCAGTAACAAACGCTTCTGTGAGACCAGCCACTGCTGTTGCGCCTTCTTCCCCATCCCCCTTAAAGTCTCCCACGAGGCTCTTCCGTGACAGTCCTCTGAAGCATCTCAAGAATAAGATGTCATCCATTCTCAGCACTTCTAAGGGCCTGATCGCCAGCAGCGCAGCTCTGAGCGCTGAAGGCAAATCATCCCTGCTCTCGCCATCTCGAGCTCAGCTTGGAACTTTCCCTGATCCTTCTTTGGATTCAATCGTCCCTAAGGCAAGCATTGACTCCCATAGGAGTGGCGATACTGTTACCAATCAGCAGTCAAATGCACCTCGACCAGTTGCTAAGCGCACAAGAGCTTCAGTGGAACGGGAGAAGGAGGAGAAACGAAGGGAGAAAGAGGCTAGAGTCCAAGCTGAGCAGATGGAGAAATTGGAGAAGGAGCGCGAAAAGGAAAGGGAAAAGGCCCGAGTTTTCAGCAAAGAACAGGAGAAGCTTGCCAACATGGAAAAGCAGGTCGCTGCCAGGAAAGAGGTTGAAACACCTGCTCCCAAGGCTACGCCTAAGCCAACCCGAACCAGCCCGCGAAGGGCAAAGCCTCAGGAGGAGACAGAGGCCAAGGCCGCTGACCAGGAGCTTGATATGGGCGATGCACCTGCTTCGGTACCCCCTCCTTCTGCTCACAGATCCGCCATTCCCGGCCAGCTATCTCGCCCCAAGGAAATGAGGCGAATTGCGAAGCCAGGCCGAGAGCCAGCGGCAAAGACTAAGGCGGCGCCTACTGTTCACATCAAGGTCAACACTGGCTCACAATTACATCCTGGCAACTCTGTGGCTAGTGGGTATCAGGACTTCGGTGCTTCGACAAGCTCTCAACCTCCTCAAACAATCAGCAAGGCAAGCAAGGCCTCTACGCAGCCCAAGCAACCCGCACCAAACTTTGGTGCTTCCACCGGATCCAATGGGCGGCCTAGAGCTCTCGATTTGGCTGCACAGAAGAAGGCCAAGGTTGAGCGTGATCGCGCAGCGTTGAAAGACGACAAGAAGAAGCAAGAAGCCATCCGTCGCCAAGAGGAAGAACGACAAAAGCGTGAGAAGAATGCTCAGCGCCAAGCAGCTCAAGACCGCCTGGCAATCATTGAGAAAGCCAAGAAGACCCCTGCGCCGCCCCCAGCTGTTCGATCACAGCCAAATGGTCCACCTCAGTACAGCCTACAACAGGACAAGTCTGCTTCGGTGCAGCGAGAAGGGCCACCTCGTCCTCCTTCTCGTATGAACTCTGGCATCTTCAGATCACAAGATGACATGGGACGACCCGTCAATGCTAACTTGACGAATGGTTCTAAATCTGGCCCCAAGAGGCCCCTTCGAGATGCTAATGAGGATGGACCTTCAAGACCTCCACCTGCACGTGGGCCTCAATACCAGGCAAAGGATGCCAAGCGTCGTCGAACGAGCGATGACTACGCTGATGAGCTTGATATGGAGCAGCCTCCTAATATCAAGGGACCTCCAGTTCGTCCATCCAGCGCTCTTAAGAGGGTGAGCAATCAAAGTGTTTCTTGTATTTCAACAAAGGTTAACAAGTACCAGGATCTGCAGACGAAGACTCTTACGAGTGGCTATGTTTCCCAGGCTAGTGCACAGAACCTGTTCAAGACTGGCGTTCCTCAGAGTCAAATGAAGGGAGGCAACCCTATGGACATGGCTCAGATTCACAAAGGAACTATTCCTTTCGCCCCGAACCCCAACCCGGCGGGACCTTCTTACAAGACACCAGGACGTCCCGGTCCTGTCAATGGAATGAAGTCTGCAGCCAAGTCTGTACCAAGATCATCACCGCGGTTCCAGAATGGTGAGGCCATTGAGCTTCCTGAGATCCAGACAGACGATGAGGACGAGGACGATGATGAACCACAAGCGGGTACAGTTGCAGCATGGGCTAACTCCCCATACATTCGGGATGCCCTCTTTAGACAGGAAGATATTGACCCTGCGTCAATTTTCGGGCCTCCTGCGCCCTTGAACATGGAGGAGGTGTTCGACAAGAGTAAAGACCGACACCACAAGTTCCGCGCCCGAACATCCAGTGCCAACTGGAGCGGCACTGATCGTCTTACGGAGGAGGACATCCGAAAGAACCTGGCAGCCAGAGACAAGCTCAGACGTGAGGGAGGCTGGTCTTACGAACTGAGCAAAGATATGATGTAATGGCATATGCATATGATACGGATACTTGATGAAGTCAATTGGGTGTTCAGGGGGGTTAAGCTTAAGAAGCGGCAGCATGGCTACATTAACGAAACGGGAAAAACGGGAGCGATTGATTGACTCTGGTCGAGTTTACTAGCTTGCATATGGTCATCGGATGCAGCAGATTGAGCGCATTTGTGATAGATGAGATTGCATTTTGACAATGGATGGTTTCTGGTTTGGCGCATGGCGAAATGGAATAGGGTGTTTGCCTGTCTAAGTAGGTATCAAGGCTACCGAGGAAGAGATGAACGAGCGTTTAGTCAAGCAAGACGTATATTATCTCATGCATGGAATACATTTCTGGGGCGTTTGCACGTTGAATTATCCGAATGAGAAGCATTATATGTTTGTGGCTCCGAGGAAGTTCAATTGCTTGTGACGGTGGATGCTCATGAATACGGTGTTGGTAGGTAGTGGGGTTATTAATAGTGGCTGTCCAACCTCTCCAAGGAAAACATAAGGTAAACAAAGTTGACTTTTGCTCATGATAATTCCCCACCAAGAAACGAGACGTTATTGGAAGATCAACCTTATCTACAGATGCAAAAAAAAAGCCATGCATGGTCTCAACAAATTTTTAGTTAACCGTTTTCACATGTCAGAAGCACGACGACGGAATAGTTAGGACCCAGAAAAAAATGATAAGGAACTGTAGGCGAGGCGAGGCGAGACCTCGTGCAAGATTCTATTTGATGCGGTTGTTTCATGATATAGGACTTGCTCTTCTCTTTTCCTTTCGGCTCCTCTCATCTGATGGTTTTGTCATGAGGTCTTTATGAGGAGGTCCCTTTACTTAAAAGTCAAACCATACTGCCACATTCCCATCATGACTGATTAGACCTAAGCCTCACTTCATCCCCGAGTTACCTTGACCTGACAACATTCTACTTACTGTTTTCTCACTTCCACTCTCCCGAGGCCGACCTCATTCATCCTTTAGCTTGCAGCTCTTGGAACATGGCGTCTCATCTCCGATCATTTGCGCCATCTCTGGACGAGATCAAAGTCGATCAAATCACCGAAAGCAGGATCTTCAACGTCGTCTCCATGCTTCCAAACTCGCTCCCCGGGCCAATTCGTTTTCTCAGACGGAGTATCAGTTTTCACACTCTACGTCCGGGTGTGACAATATCTGGGCCACAAACGAAACCTCGGCCTCTTTCAGAAGCTGATGTCTCGGCTACAATGGCCCAGCCACTCCAGACGGACATGGTTAAGCACTCAGGTGGATTTGTAGAGTCACGAGACTTGAATCCTCAGCCGATGAGTCGAGTCCTTTATTCGGAAGCGCCAGAGGATGAACCGGTTATGCGAGCGGCGTCTGGCGTGCATTGGAAGTTTGCACGACAGGGTAAGCAACTTTAAAGACCAAGAAATAGCCAGTGTTATGTGCTGACATTGTCCAATAGGAACAAATCTCGTCAACATCTCTATAGATGGAGGCAAAGCTGCTGTAGCAGAAGAAGATGTTGCCTTTGAGCGGAAAGCCTTTGTTGACGGGGTGACATATCTCCTCAAAGCTCTCCCGCAAGAACTTGACGAAGGCGAGCTCAGAAGAATACAATGCGCATTGCCAGAGCAGGTCAACTTGTCTGATATGGCTCTAGCTCGAGCAGAACCCGTGTCGCAACGTGTTCGCCCCGGTCAACCCCGTTCAATAATTCACCGCGGAGTCCAAATGACAGTTGTCAATCTCATCTTCTTCCTCAGCTTCCTTATGCCATATCTGCTATTACTCGTTAGATGCGCAGCTCGACTGGAGCGCAAGTACAAGATCTCCGAGAAAGTCGTAGGTCACGGCGTGGACTTGGTCAACTCAATTGGCAAGCAAAGCGCTTCGCTGACTGAAGCAATCGGGCAGATAAACGATGGCAAAGTTGCTCAGGCTCTATTAGAAGTGTTTGTTTGGACTGTTGATGGTGTAACTCAGGGTATCTCGGATGGACTCGGGGAGGGTCTTTCGATGGTGGGGTCGAAACCAAAGATGAGTGGCTAGGTAGGTAACTACCTACCTAGAGCCTAGAAGCTGCTGGAGGGAAGTTGCATCAGAGGGAGTTATGATTGAAGATTTAGAAATAGAGATAGAAGGGTGATCATTGGTTAGCGGAGTTTTGTTTTGATACAGGCATTTACATGGCAAAGGTAATGAAATTGCACGAGACCACTCTCTACAGTTCACACTCGGGGATTTTCTTCCATCTTCAATGCTGAGCTAGTGGCAATGCTCCAGGACCCTTACAGGCCTTTTCGCCTCTGGTCCGGTGCAGACCTCCGGCGGGGCACGTGACAGACACGGAATCTAACCCAATCAGGGTAGAGCCTCGCTGCCAATTAGACGATAAGATAAGGTAGCGCTGTAAAAATTTCATTTTTCCCAAAAGTAGCGGCGCGCGACCCTTGGACGCCCGCCAATCTTCATTCAACTTAACCTTCTCTCATACCATCATCCTCTTTTTTTCTCCTCCTCCAATTCTTACTTCTGGGTTTGTGGTTTCTATCAATCGCAGAACCGAAATCTCAGCGTCAATTCTTGTCTTTAATACCTGGCATCATGTTTCGATCCAGCCTTAGGCGCTGTGCCACTCAGGCCAGATCGGCCGCTACAGCTGCCCTCTTCACACAGACTCGAACTGCTTTGCCTGCTGTTCGCCGTCAGGTTTTGACAAGCCACTCTTCTATCGCTGCCATCACCCGAATTTCTTCCATCACACGCGCTTACAGCACCGAGGCTGCTGCTGAGCAAAATGAGTCTGAGTCTGCTCCTTCAGCTGAAGCTGAGCCTCAAGTTCGCTTTGCCGATCTCCAGGGCGTTCACCCCAATCTTCTCAAACCCATTCTCAACGACATGAAATACGATACCATGACACCTGTTCAGGCCAAGACCATCCAGCCTGCCCTCAAGGGAACTGACATGTGAGCTCTTTTCATATCAAAGTAAAAAATATTGTACATTAACTAACATTTAATCAGCGTTGCTCAGGCCAAGACTGGTACCGGAAAGACTCTTGCATTCCTTCTTCCTGTCCTTCAAAGAATGATCGAGGAAGACAGCACACTCGCCGACAGGACCGCTAGACGTCAAGCCCGATCTGATGATATCCGTGGAGTTATTCTCTCTCCCACACGAGAGCTGGCCGAGCAAATCGCCGCTGAGGCTCGCCGATTGGTTGCCAACACTGGTCTTGTCGTTCAGTGTGCTGTTGGTGGCACTGACAAGCGCGGCATGCTTCACCAGACTCGACGACAGGGTTGCCATCTTCTTGTCGCTACTCCTGGTCGTCTGAACGACCTTCTCCAAGACACCAGCAGCGGCATTGATGCCCCCAACCTGGCTGCTCTGGTCTTGGATGAGGCCGACCGAATGCTCGATGTCGGCTTCGAGAGAGAGCTCAACGAAATCATCAAGTGCCTCCCCAAACCTGAGGAGAAGGTTCGCCAGACCATGCTCGTTTCTGCCACAATTCCCGACAGTGTTATCCGCCTGGCCCGCAACATGGTCAGAGCCAACGACTTCGAGTTTGTCCAGACCATCCCCGAGAACGAGTCTCTTACCCACGACAAGGTTCCTCAACATATCGTTCCCGTCTCCGGTTGGTCTCAGGTCTTCCCCTCCCTTTTTGAGCTTCTGGAGCGTGAAGCCGCAAAGATCAGGGAAACCCCTGGTGCCATGCCCTTGAAGGCCATTGTCTACTTCAATACCACTGCTTTGGTTGAGCTGGCTGGCGAGCTGTTTTACCAGCAACGCCAGAATGCCAAGAACGATGGCAGCCTTTATTTCTCTTCCTATGTCATGCAGTCAAAGCTGAGTCAACAACAACGCCAAAGAGCTGCCGATAGATTCCGCGAGGCCAGATCCGGTGTCCTTCTTTCTTCTGATGTCACAGCTAGAGGAATGGATTTCCCTAATGTGACACACGTCATCCAGATCGACACTCCCCGGGAACGTGAGTCTTACATTCACCGACTTGGACGAACTGGTCGACAGAACAAGGAGGGCCAAGGCTGGTTGATCATTCCCAACTCTTCCGTCCGTAGCGCTCGAAAGATGCTTCAGGGTCTCCCCATTCAACAGAACAGCTCTCTCAGCAGCGCTGAGACTGATGTGGCTGGAGGTGAGACTACTCCCCACCATGAGAAGACCAAGGCTCTTTTTGGTGCTCTGCCTCGTCCACTTCTCGCTACAGCCTATATGTCCATGTTCGGCATGGCCACTGACAAGGCGGGGATGGCCGAAGAGGTCAACGAATGGACACGTGTTGGCTGGGGATGGGACAAGCCACCGTCTGTTTCCCACGGGTGGGCTCAGAGGCTGGGATTAGCCAATACGCCAGGCATGAACTTTTCGGAAGGCGGCCAGCGATTTGGTGATCGATCTGGCGGACGGTTCGGTGATCGATCCGATGGATATTCACGCCGAGAAAGCAGTGATCCCTTTGATTCCATGGCAAGCAATGTCCGCCGGGATGACTACGGACGAGGTAGATCTGGTGGTTTTGGCCGCGGAGGCTCAAGCGGTGGTCGCTCAGGAGGCTTTGGCGGCAGCCGCTCAGGAGGTTACGGTGGCAACCGTTCAGGAGGCTACGGTGGTGGCCGCGGTGACCGAAGCTCTGGTGGCCGCTCAGGAGGCTATGGCGAACGCTCTTCATTCTAAGTGATGAAAGGCACTTCGGGAAAGTGGTGAAAATGTAATAACAAGACCAGATACCTATGACGGATGGGATGTGTATGACTTGTACTTCAATTGGGCATTTTTGTATTTTATACTAGTGTAAGATATGGGAAAAGGGGTTTGGTTTATAGACATGTCTGCAGGCGTCACTGGGTATTCTCCACGACAACTCTACTTAAGAAATGATGATAATCTCAATAACCGTCTTGTTTTGTAGTGCTGTGGCTCAACGTATGTGGTTATTTGACCAGCTAGCAGACTTTGATATTGATGAACTCGACCCATGGAATACATCCCAACGCCTGATATACCAAAGATATTCGTAGATACGCTTACTCCAATTAACGCCAGACTAACAATGCTTAACATCATGGTATTCGTTGGCCCATTAGCATATTGGCATCCCACAATAACACCCTCTCATCCCAGCCCACAGAAGCCACCCAACCGCCCATACCAAAAAGACACCAGTCTACTCCCGTGACGAACTCGGTATGTCGATTCATGATTCCCATTTGACTTCCTATTGCCGGTCCCATCGCCGGAGCTTGCTGCTGATTCGAACCGTCATTCCATAACCGAACTGTCATATCGTAACTGGCACTTATGAGAGTGTCGCTCGAATGGGGACTCCATGATAGACGCCGCACAGCATATTCATGGCCTTGCATGATAGACAGCGGACCTCCATTAGGGTTCCGTATGTCAAAGGTTCGTAGAACTCTGTCCACACCACCTGTAGCTATTACCGTGTCCCGGTACTTATTCCAATCGTGGGTAAGAATCTCAGCAGGCGCAGAAGCTCCGGGGGACGGTTGCGGTCCAGAAGCGTGGACCGGTACCGTCGCCGTGAGGTGGTATTTTGCCGAAGACGGTGTTCGGAGGTCGAAGATTCGGAGATGGGAGTCGGAGGAGACAGCGGATATCAAGGCGGGGTTGGAGGGGCAGAACGAGGTACTGTAAGTACAATTTCCGATGGGCAGCGTCTTTATCGAGTGATTTCGCGTCGGCGACCACTATAAAGTGTTAGCAATAGTTTATGCATGACTGGTGTAAGTTGACGTACAATCTTGACTGTGCCGTCCCAGGAACTCGATATGAATGTATCCTTGGTTATAGGGTTCCAACAGACAGAGAAGGTTTCTCGCTTATGTTCATGAAAGTTCATAACCGGAAAGTCGTCAATTCCCAAGTCAAATAGCTTCAACGACCCATCGCCACATGCAACAATCAACTGATTCTCGTTAATCTCGGACCAAGCCAAGTCGTACAGAGCATCGTTTGTGTCGAAACTGCGACGGCGGAATTAGCTTCTAGTAACACTCCATAAGCCCAGCAACGGGACGTCGCATACGTTTTCTCAACTTGTACGCCCTGCGCCGTCAGAGCGAGCGCGAATACCCGACCATTGCCCACAATGCCAAAGTTGGCAGATGTCGCAACGGCAATTCGCGAGTCGTAGTACGGGGAATATTTGACGGCGTAGGGATTGTACCCTTGGGTTCGGAATTCTAGCATTGCAGCCATTGCGCTGAGGATTGGTCTTCAGAGACCGCGCGCATATGTTGGCTATGGTATTATGGTAGACCGAAGAAAGCTACGGTGGACAATGGGCTTGGGCTTGGGCAGAGCTTCCCCTCGAAGCTATACTGACATGTGCCTCGGTTTCGGTAATCTCACAAGCCCGCGGGGCACAAGTGTCGCGTTTATGCGGCTAACCGGGTCATGCGTCATCTACGGGGGTATGTGATAACCGAAGTCATTTCAGTCACGTGGTTTCGTGTCTCAACTTTTCGGAACTTTCGCGATATCGTGTCTCTAACAGCCCCTCATCACGTCTCCCAAACGCTTGCGAAATGCTGGCACATCTGTCGGAGAGCACTTTCACTTACAGCGCATAGTTTATGCTATTGGACATACGGGGATCAAACTATGAAAGCTTTTTTGACTCGTCCCAAACGAAAGTCATCTCCAGAGCTTCGAAAGGGAATCACAGAACCAGAAGAGTCAACCGAAGTCAAGTTGGCTTTATTATCGTCTTTACATCCTCAACTTGATCAGGAAACTCTACTAGACATCTTACTAGCGCATGATGGGTCTGTTTCCGAGGCATCGGCGTCGCTTAAAGTCCAGGTCCCGGTGAAGAAAGGCACTCGAGTCGTTGGATACCAGCAGTCCTTGAAGCAATATGCAACCCCAAGTGACTCGGCCTCCTTGGATACTACACCTAAAAAGAAGAAATTAAAGTCTAAAGCAGGAAGCACATTGCATCTATATGATCCAGAAGACGTGGCTGAGCATACTCCGTGCACGATTATACACAACTTTTTACCACCTGAAGAAGCCAACGAATTACTGCGAGAACTACTTGAAGAATCAAAGTCTTTCGAGAAGATCACTTTCCAACTATTTGAGAACGTAGTTTCAAGTCCCCATACTTCAAGCTTCTATGTCGAAAGCTACGACGAGATCGAGCGCCAGAAAACCGAGTACCACTACAACGGTGGTCGACTTACGGTAAATCTTTAACTGATCGCTTCTACTCACAGTCGTTGATTAATCATATACAGGATATCCGGCGCATTACACCTCAGCTTATCAAGGTCAAGCCAAAAGTCCAAGAAGCTGTCAATTCCGAGATTCAGAAACGAATCAAGACTCGGTATCCCGGCGGAAAAAAGTTGAAATATCAATCTCCCAACCCCTGGGTTCCAAACTCCGCATTTGTCAATGCATATAACGGTCCCCAACAGAATGTCGGCTGGCATAGCGACCATCTCACATATCTCGGACCTCGCGCCGTCATCGGGTCTATTTCACTCGGGGTTGCTCGCGAATTTCGAGTCAGACGGATAATACCTAGAGACAGCGATACGAAAACGGTTCAGGAGCAAGATGCGGAAGGCCAAATATCAATACATCTTCCCCATAATTCTCTTCTTGTGATGCATGCCGAGATGCAGGAAGAGTGGAAGCATAGCATCGCGCCGGCATTATCGATTGATCCACATCCTATCTCTGGCACAACACGTATCAACATTACATACCGAGACTACAAGGCAAACCTACATCCAAGGTCTACACCAAAGTGTCGATGTGGACAGCCGTGTGTTTTAAGAGCTGTGACGAAAAAGAAGGAGAATTTTGGAAAATACTTTTGGATGTGCTATGCCAACTCTCCTGGACAGGAGAACTGCGGTTTCTTTCAGTGGGCTGAGTTTGATGATGACGGGAATCCCCTGTTTGGAAAAGTAATTGGTGCCAAGACTTAGGATACCTTTTGTGAAGTGTTTTTGACACCCTATATCAAGGTCTGATGTTTCTTGGTTCCCGAGGCTCTTGTATAAGTCTGATGTAGTGGCGCCCCATTTTGATACCACAGTACTCGATTCTTTAACTGAGAATCCCCTATCCTCCCAGAGCCGCTTATTATGTTGGCCACGAATATACTAGCGAGATACACTACGGCGTTCCACAAAGATTTTGCACTTTTGTTTACAAATTGATCAAACATCGGAGCCTCAAGACACAGATCGTATTTACTACAGAACCCACACCACATAGCATGCGGAAGAATGTCGATTCGATCTTCCTATGAATGAAATGGAATTGGCCATTTTGGTCTAGCGAGTTCCCTTGATGCGCACTTCTACATCCCTTACTGGAAACATTCACGACTCCCTTCACGTAGCCCTGGGGATATTGGCAGATCGAATTACCTCCAATTACTCGGCCTACCTCCCCGAGAGCAAATGGTTTAAAATAAAGGAAAGATACATACTCACTCGAAATACATGGTGTCTATATACTCAAGCCTTGGCTGGTGGTCCATGTTGGTAGGTCATCTACCAAGATGGCTAATCTGTGTTACCAAATTGCTCTGAACAGCCAATCTAAAAAGCCCAATAGAAACGAATTCAAGGTAATAATTCGAGACTTCTGATAAAGGGTGGTTGTTTCTTGTGTAACGCGGTGGCGTTGCTGACCATTGAATCCCCGTGAGATGGGTGGTCACCACCCACCAACAACCCATTGACTGGGGAGTATGGACCGTTTCAATTGTGCCTGATTCTTTGAAATTCTTGACTTGGAATGGCCTTCTTTCCCAGACACTGTCGGTTCATCATGTTTCTGCCAAGTCATGGTAACAATTTTCAGGGGTTTTGTGAGCAGCTATGCCACCAGTGCAGCACCAGATCATTAATGAGCGCAATGTTACGCCATTACAATCAGTAAGCGCTAGCCTTGTAATTTTATTTATTTTAATGGATTTGCGTGATGTTATCGTGAGGCTCTAACTATAGTACCGAGGATGTGCTCCCCCTATTCAACCCCAGACCAGTCTAATTCACAAATACTCACATAACTTGCTTGGAATGGTTTCCTCTAAGAACAGAGTACAGGTATGAAGATACAGACCCGATCTGATTGTCTTAGATCTATTCGAGATCTGCCCCGCTGCATCCGCAGATGCTCTTATTCATGTGACTTGGATTACCCAATTGCCCCATTCAGAGTCTTGGAAATCTAGCCTAATCGGCTTTTATAATACCGGAAATAGCTACAACAAAAGTTAATATTCAATAGTGCAGTCAGATAGTCTATTTAATGAAACCCCGAATATCTTCTTCGTACTCGGGTGGAAAAATAAGAATTTGGGCAACTTCAATTCAACCTTTTAAGTCTATCTATCCATACCTAGATATCTATGTATTCCACCGTATGCCACTCCCTGTTCACAAGGAGGTGTCTTCTCTCCTCTTCAAATACAGTGCAACCAACCATAGCTGAAAATATACGAAAATGCGAATATCGATTGTTTTGAGCCTGAAGTTGCTGGGCTATATAGATTGTCTGTACCAGGTGGTTCACAAACAGCAATGGCAGGTTTGAATCGAAAACTAGGCTCCCTCGGATCTGTTCAAGTGACCATACTTACGAGATAGATTGGCTTATTAGGTGCCAGTGATACAAACAACAAG